CCAGTCATATCTTTGAAAACTTAGTCAATTTTATTTCACATTTCACAAAGTTCAAAGTAATTTTAGTCTCGACATTTCTTTAATTGACACTTAGGTGCTCAATAAATATTAGAGGAAAGAAAGGAAGGAGGAAGCTGGTTGCTTGGCTGACTATTGCTATTAGTAAAATTTTAATATATTCTCTAGGCCAGTTAAGTGCAGTTAATCCGCACATAGAGCTAATAACATTTTCACAGAGGAAGTATATATTACTTTCATTCAGTAAATGTTTATGCATTTATCATACGATTTATCATATGTCAGGGACTATGCTAGTCACCAAGAATCCCTGTCCAAACAGAAGTTATCATGGAGGGAGGACACAGACAATCACAATACAGGTGATATGTGCCCCCAGATGGTGCAGTGGGAATTCACAGGGGGTTATCTAAACCAAATTTGGAGGATCAGGGACGGCTTCCTGGAGGAAGTAAAGGTGAGAAAAAGAAAAAGGTGGGGGAGGGAAAGAAGGAGGGAGGGAAGGAGAGAGAGAAAGTACATGCACACAAGCACATGGCATATAACAGGAAATGAAAGAAATTCAGCACAGGACTACATTTCAGAGAGGGATAAACTGAGTGGCAGACGGCTGGCAAAGGAAGCATCTTTGGGCCATGTTAAGGATATTAGACAAATAATAGGCAGTCATTTAACAGTTTGAGCAAGAAGCTGACATGATTAATTCAATTTTAGAAATACTACTCCAAGCTGCAGAATGGAGAGTGTAATCAAAAAAGGGAAAAGGTGGAGGCAGAAACTTTTGTTTTAAAGATATAATACTAGCTCCCAGAATCACTGGGAGATAAAGGAGTAGAGACTGGTTGAATTTTCAGGGACAATTCCCAAAAAACAGGGCTGAGCAAGAGCTGTTGCTACCACATTATTAGATCAAGAAGTTGCTCCACACCACCAGCTTAGAGCTGCCAAATGGCAGACTAGTGCCCATAGCCTTGCCCGAGGTCAGAAGGGATCACAGCTGGAACAAGGATTATGACTGCAGGGGTGGAGTGGATTGAATAGACCTGTGATTTAGCTAGGAAGAAAAATGGATGCAGAGGTATGGATGGAGAGGTGTAGGGAGAGTAAGCAGGGACAGTTAGTACATTGCTGAAATAGGGTAAACAAAAAGATTTGAGATGAGGAAAAATGGATGTGGTTTGGACTTAAAGAGTGGGAAATCTGTGTGGGATATAGAAGTAGCCAGCGGGAGAATGGAGCACGTCACTGAAGGCATGAGCGGGGAAGAGAGAGAATTTAAATCGGGCCCAGGATACAATCCTGAGAAACAGTACTAATACTTAGGAATCAGGCAAAGGAAGATAAGACCAACAAAAGAGTCTGAACTAGAGTAGGAGTGGGAGAAGAAAAAACACCAAGAACGTACTATCAGGGAACCGAAGGAAGCAGACTGAGGGATTACAATACTGTGACATGTAAGACCTATATAGGGGATCTTTGTCTATGGTTCCTGCCTTATGGCTCATAAAACCCTCGGCATTTTCTGAGCAGTAAGAGCAATAGGACCATTTGTCATAATAGTGGGTCTCTTGTCCTCAATTCCTGAAATTGCTTCAGAGTTATAAAGATGAAATCTTGTTATTTATACAAGCCCCTTTCCACCACAACTGTGTTTATGTTAAAGAGGCGACTTTGAACAGAATCTAAAAATGAGGGCTGGTTGCCAGGGGGACTAACCAGGAATAGAAGAATAGAATTTTCAGTCCCACCTCCAGACCTCCTAGGGAGAGGCAAGGGGTTGGAGGTAAATCAATCACCAATGGTCAATGACTTAATCAATCTAATGAGGCCTTTCATAAAAACCCCAAATGACAGGGTTCACAATCCTGCACAGTTGGTGAACACAAGGAGATGCTGGGAGAATGGCAACCTGGAGAGGACATGGAAGCTCTGTGCCTCTTCCCTAAACTTGCACAATGTATCTCTGCCATCCAGTTGTTCCAGAGTTGTTTCTAGTTAAGTAAAATGTTTATCTGAATTTCATAAGCTGCTCTAGCAAATTAATTGAATCCAACCATTTCTTGGTTCTCTGGGAACTTCTGATTTTATAGCCAGTCAGTCAGAAGTACAGGTAACAACTCAGACTTCAAACTGGCATCTAAGGTCCAAGGACAGGGTGTGGGAGCCTCCCTTTATAGTGGGTTGGTCAGAAGCACAGGAAAAAGCCTGGGCTTGCAATTGGTATCTGAAGAGGGAGGCAGTCTTGTAGGAATAACACTTAATTTGTGGACCTAGATGCTATCTTCTAGTAGATAGTGTCAGAATTAAGTTGAACTGTAGGACACCCAGCTGGTGCCACAGAACTGATTGCTGGTATGAGAAAAAAAATTCTCCTTCCCTGCCAGCACACATTTCAATTGGCTGCAGAATCATTAACTGGTTCCAGAACCATTTTAGGACTCAATCAAAATAAAGATTGAGAACTCATGGGCCTCCCTGGTGGCGCAGCGGTTGAGCGCTGGGTTGCAAAGCTGCCTGCAGCCTCTGCAGCGCCGGTTTGCTCCCCGGCCACCAGAGGAGGGTCCCACATGGCGCGCAGACCTCTCCCTCAGCAGTGTAATTCGGTCCTTCTGCCTGCTCTGCTCCCTGCTCTGGCTCTGGTGAATTCTCTCACCCTCCTGCGCTTCTGACTGTACCCAGTGCTTGTATAAATAAATAAATAAATCTTAAAAAAAAAAAAAAAAGATTGAGCACTCACAAAAAAATTCATGTGACCTTCCAATAGGATGAGAGTGTAGAAGGTGGACAGAGACCTAGACAAAAATGACGACAGACCCTGTTATGTTAAAAAAAAAAGGACAATTTTAAGTCCAAGTTGATACCTGTACTTCTGACTGGCTATAAAATCAGAGGTTTCCAGGGAACCAAGAAATGGTTGGATCTGATTGATTTGTTAGAGTATGAGTACGCCTGGATGCCATTATTTTAAAGAAAAAGAAGAAAGGAGAAAAGAAAACAAGAGGACTAAAGACTGAAAAGGGAGAAACACAACATCTTATTTGTATTTGATATAAGCATTTCTGTATAGTACACAGATATTCATGAAGAATCTGCATATTATTGTTAGATTCAACAAGGTTGATCAACTTTTCCCCTGACAAAAAAGTCAGTATTTCTCTATACTAGAAACATCTAGGAAATATAATAGAAAGATGTCATTCATAATAACAACAGAAACCACAAAGCATTTAGGAACTAAACAAAGAGCATTAAAGATGTCCATGAAGAAAATTTTACACATAATATTGTAAACCAATGTTACCTCAATAAAAAAAAAAAAACCTCACAAAATTTTAAACTGTTAAATAAGACCTGAATAAATGAGATATCCTATGATTTTAAACAGGTCAATTCAACATTGTCAAGATTTCAGTTTGCCCTAAATTAACTTGTAAATTAAATGCAACCTCATTACTGGTACTATTACTTAGAAATTCAAAGTTATGGAATAACTTTAATCTGGAGATGCATACATAATAACTCACAAATAGCTAAATCAACACACACTTACAGAACTTGTTCTGTAAGATAATAAACCAATATGGTACTGGCATATAGAAAAAAAAGACCATTTGTACAAAATTGAGTTCTGAAACAGATGAACCTACTGTACAATTAAGGTTGCCCCATGAAATAATGGGAAAAAACAAACCATTAATAGTGGAACACTGGCTTCGCATGTAGAGGGAAACAATATCAATTCCTACCTAATACAACATACAGAAGTGAACCTCAGTGACATAAGGGACCTAAATGTGAAAGGTAAAACTATAAAGCTAACAGAACATAAAGTAGGAAAGTACCTTTATGATTTACAGGAGAAAAACACGTCTTAAAACCCTCACAGCACAAAACTTATGTTTGTATTATCTAAGTCAAACATAATTTTCTAAACTCTGTTGTGTTGTTAAAATATCAAGTTTACAGTAGATTTTTCATATTTAAAAAGAAGTAGGAGAAATTATTCCTTAAGATTATTCATTTAGATAGGTAGGGTTCATATATATGGGGGTAACAGCATTGGTGGCTTTATTTTTACATTTAAAAGTAAACATTAAAGTACTGGGTAAATACTCTAAATATTTTTTTACTCCATAAATGCCACCAGTTAAGTTTTTCATACACTTTTATACAGTCCACATTAACCCCGAAAATACCTAGGAGTGAAGTTAATTATCATTGAGTGATCAATTATAATTTTCTTTTTCTTTTTTCCATACTTAAAAATCGTTCAGACTAAGAGAATGGATGTTATTCTTCTTAAAATTAGTGCTACATCATAAATCCTAAGCAAATGGATGAAGAGCAAATGACATAAATTAAAACACAGGATTTTTGGAAGTTCTATTTTTTTCTTATTATAATGAGCACAACTGAATAAAATTAAAATACAATATAACTCAAGCTTAACTGAAAATCTTAGGTTCCCCTGTAAGGCTAGGGCTATATCCCAAACAGTTCTATTTCATCACTGTCGGCTTCCATAAGAGGTAAAACAGGTACCTCAGAATTCAAATGAAATAAAATGGTCTAAAGGAAAAATAAAATGAAACATTTGGATGAAATAAATTGTCTAGAAGCTAGAGTTGAGTGTAACAGCTGGGGAAAAACCCAAATTCACAAATCTCCAAGATTTGACACTAGAATCTATTAGGTACAAAATATAGCCCCCCAAATGATGGATATATAATTAAAAAAAGTATTCATATTTCCAACTTTGTTTTTTGTCATGCTACTCTGAATTTAACCTTTCTTCAGAACCAGTAAAACCTGCTAAAAAGTAAATAATACAATTTATTTAAATTGTTTAATGTATTCAAAATATTTTTCTACAAGTGTCTTCCCCCGACAATAAAAATCTACCTCTTGTATATTCAAAAACTAAATTGTGTGATATAGTAATCTATAGATATTCTAAATGTATTAGGATTAATAAAATATACCTTGAACAACAACCTGGCTGCCTGGGACAAAGAATTGCTGTGTGCCATCAGCTGATTGTGCTGCATACTGTACAATTGTAGCACCTGGTGGAGGAGCTCCTGAATTTGTCATTGTTAATGCCTGTAGTCCCTGAACACCATCAGATCCTGGGTTAGAAATCTGGATTGCTCCACCTTGGGCTATAGCAACTTAACAGAAAAAGAAAAGAAATATTAGAGAATTTCAAGATTCATTTGTAATAATTTCATATTGGAAGAATATAACTGGATCTACTGGTTACCATTGATTTTTATTCTCATGCTACCCTTATTTCTCTTTGTTGAAATTGAGAAGGAATATAAGGCCCTCCTTCATAGGATAACATCCTGAAAAAGCTCATAAACATTTGAAAATGATATATTCAGAACTGCTTGAAATACATAGGACCCATGGAATTTTCCTACATTGTGGCATCCATCCAACTAAATTATTATTTCAGAGGAGGAGTGGAGGAGATACAGACAGGGAAAAGGTTCAGCTTGATTTTCTCCATTCTTTCATACATTTTTATAAACAGCATTCCTTTAACATTTAAGAAATCATCAGAGAAAAGCCACTGAACATCACTAGTGAATTTGTACCTTGCTTTAACTACTTTTCTAATTTATTATCAAAAAAGCTTTTAGGTGAACAGATATCCTATATTTTAATTTTAAACCTCAAATCTACAAAACTATAACCTTCACTGTTTTGGCTTACTTGACCATTTCAGGAGAATCCTGAAGTATAAAGTGTTATGTTGGAAAGTTGAACCTAATTCCAGGAAAGGACCTTAAAAGGTTACTGTATTGAAAGAATTTGTGCTACAATATTTATCTCTATCAAGTATTGAATAACTACAGCTAATGGCAACAAAACTGAGGTAGAAGTCCTCTAAATATTGAGACTTGCCAGTAATGTTTAAAAGTTAACATATTAACTGAAAGTTTCAAAAGAATAATTGATCAAATGTTTTACTTTAAAATTTCACTGACAAATAGACAAATAAGTACTGTTTAAAATATGAGAGTTCTGCATACTTTAACATAAAGACTATGACTGCATTTTTAATTTAAGCACTAGAGTTCAAGGAGAACCAAGGGCTAGTCTCCTAACTAGACTTTACAAGGAAGATAAAAATAACACACTTTAGTATAACACAAATCAGAAGTAAGCCTTGCAAGAATGTTACTGTTTTGTCTAAAGTATACTCTCAATATTTCCAAGTCATTCCAAATGTTTTTAACAGTATCTAAACAAAGGACCACATAGGTGATGACCTTATCATATAAACCTGTCTGAACTATCGAAAAGAGTAAAAGAGTAGTTATTTTAACCTACAATTGTCCAATACAGAAAGATAGGATATTTTTAAAAAGATTTCAACATAGATACAATCTGTGTTTTGGTTCACTGACAGGCTACTTATTAGAGTTATGATTGACAGAAACTCGAGAATTAGCTGCAAAATGTCAATAGTGCCGAGATTGAGAAACCCTGATGTAATATCACTCTATCTGGCTCATCTAGAGCATAATATTCTGCACACATTTTAAAAACAAGATTTCACCATGACTCTGTAAAGATTTCAAGGCTTTTATGATTCATGCCTGACAATAAAAAGGTTAGGGAGAGATCTAAATATGTCTAACTTTCTGAAAAGTGAAAAAGAAGAGATATTCCTTTCTTGTAGCTTCATAGTTGGACATGAATAAATTTCACGTTATCATATGAAACTAAGTATTTGAATGTGTATTTTCAGCTGACAATTAGTTGCTGTCATAGAAATAGTGTATTAGAAAGAACAAACAGGCAGTTCATAGCTACAATATATAAGCACAATGCCTCGCATATAGCAGATACTCAATAAGATGAGTGGTTACCATTTACTTAAGATAGACTAACTTATAAGCAATGTAAGCCACTTGTGAATGTAGAAGAGTCAAATAAAGCATGGGTTCAAATTCTGATTATTCAACTTTTTTCAATGTCAATAGTTATCAAGCTTTTGAACTGTTAAAAAATCTGAGTAGTTGCTCAGTACTATGAAAAAGGTAGACAGTAAGTTCTTTACTTTTCATATTTCCCCTTTTCCTCCAATAATATTTTTCCACAATTCCAACAAAACTTCTCTGCTGTAACACTGTGAAAAGTTGATATATCAAGAATTTGTTCCTCTCATCATTTTCTGATCAAATCTCTCTCACACACACACACTCACACACATGAAGCTGGCACTATAGGGGAAACATTTCTACTGATAAGCCTTATACTTCAGTGTTTGTTTTTTATTACAAAGGTGTTTGATTTTGACATTATCAAATGACAGAGGACTTTTCATTTAAAATGTTACCTCTCATTTTACACCTTGGCTGCTTCATGATATTTAAAATAGGCTTTGTGTGTATGTGTGTGTGTTCAAAAAATGTGTGGTGGAAACTCTGTTACAGTAAACAGAGAAATTAAATAGAAAGGAGAAATATTATGAAACTGAATGACTTCAGTTATTTAAAAAAAAAAGATGGAAATTTTCTAGCACATTCACCCCCAATTTTTTTTATTTGATCCGAGTATTTCAAAACAAATCCTAGATATCATGTTTGGCTAATCATTTTAAAATAAAATGATTGACCTTTATCAAGGCCACTAGTGACTAATGAAAATAAAATACCTTGTATTTACCACTAATTTTACTTTGAAGACCTAAGTTTTATTAATGCTTCCTTGGACTGACACAAGCAAATGAAGCATAAAAGTTCTTCCTATGGCTAGATACATTTTTGCTGTTAACAAGAGGAGTCTGCTGTAAACTATAAATATTGATAGGGACTCAAGCAGAAATAAAAGTGTCTTATTATTTTGGACTATCTGCATCCTTATTTTCCTTATTTAAGTATGCCTTAACATTACAATTTTATTAAATAATTAAAATTGAATTAAAAATGATAATCTTAAATTCTATTTCAATGTGCATTTTAATTGATTCAAGCCTACTAGTATAGTATATATTCATAGTAATGATGGGTAGAAGTTAGGCTCCTGTCCTCCTCCTCTAGGCAGTACCTAACATTTTTTTACCTACAGTCTTACTTAGTTATATCCCATAATTAAGTAAATCACACTACACTCACTAAACATAGGATACACCGACTTAAATGATTAAAGAGTTTGTCTAAATAGACAACTCATTAATTTACTAAGTACTTTCCTGCTAAGTTAGTTTTAGTCATTACACAAATGTATAGATCCTTTATATAATCATGGTTTTTAGCATGGTTTCCTCATCCCCAATTTACCATGTATTATGGTAACCAGAATCAATCCTATCAGCTAGACTATGCAATAAATTCTAAAACATATTTTTGGTGCACAGAACTGTGTCTAAAAAATCTCCTATTTCCACTACTCAGTTACTGAGTACTTTTCTGCAAGAACTATTAAAATTATTGAAGTGAGGGAAATAGCACTTGTGGAATGGAAATTAAAGAATTTTTGTAAGAAAGTTTTTTGTAAAAAAAAAAAGCTTTAATAAAAAATATTTTTAAAGGGGCCTCCCCTGGTGGCACAGGCAGTTGAATGCCAGCGCTGTGAAGCTGTCCACAGTCTTTGCAGCGCAGGTTCGATCCTGGCTGGCCGCGAGGATCCCACATGGTGTGGCAGACCTCTCCTGCCTCGCTTGCTGCTCCCCTCATTAGTATATTTCGTCAGTCTGTCTGTTCTGTTCCCTGCTCTATCTCTGGTGAATCCTCTCACCCTCCCGCACAAATGGCCTGTACCCCGGTTCTTGTATAAAGTAAATAAATAAATCTTTAAAAAAATAAAAAATATTTTTAAGCCCTATATAATCAAAAATAAGGAACAAGAAATAAATAAGGGTAACAATAAGGGTGGATAACTGATAAGAGTTTATGAGTAGAATTTTTTAAAATTAAGATTTCATATGATCACTTTTCACTTGATGCCTACATTTTTTAATCCTAAACTTGTATATATGAGCTAATTAATACACATAAACAAGTGTTTAATAAACTATAATTTAAAGCCATCTTTATTCCAAATAGCAATAAATAAGCCATAAATAAAATGCCTTTATGTTAACTTTAAAAAGAACAGCAGACTTTTTTCGAATGAATTCTCAGATTTAAATATAAAAGGTGAGGGGGCCTCCCTAGTGGTGCAAGGGTTTAAGACACAACCTATGAAGCTGTCCTCAGCCTCTGCAGCATGAGTTCGATCCCCCGGCCAGCCAGAGAGCAACCTACATGGCGTAGCAGACCTCTCCTGTCTTGCCCACCGCTCCCCTCAGCAGTGTATTTCAGTAGATCTGTCTGTTCTGCTCCCCACTCTGTCTCTGGTGAATCCTCTCATCCTCTACACCTCTGACCTATACTCCAGCTGTTGTGTTCATAAATCAATCAATCAATAAAGAAATATAAAAGGTGAGCATGAAGGAGAATCTGTGAGTACCTGTGCTTAAAAGCCCAGAAGTGTATGCCCAAGAAGAAAGATGAAAATAGCCTGGTACTGTTAACAACATCAACACCAAGGTTAAAAAGGCAAGATTTACATCAAATAGGCAGCTTCCATGTTTGCTCTGAAAGTTGCTTTAGGAGAATCTAAGCAAAGTTGTTGTTAAGAATAAATGCAACAGCATTTACTTTAGAATGTGTAAGCTTATGGTGTGCAAATTCCTCTAATGAAGAAATGGAATAGGTGTGTATTCACGAGTCTCCTGAGAATTCTGAATTCTTCAAGCAGTTCACAAAGTTCACATAGACCTTTTTTCAAAATGATTGGGATTGACACTTACCTTTGGTGTATAAGAATTCCAGTAAAGATGAGTTAATAGACTCATCTTAACAACGCTCCTAGTGAAATAAAGTAGAAGCAAGCAGAGAGACAAGGGACATTTAGAAAAGAAATAATTTGAAGTCTTTGATGACAGACCTTAATTGGCAAGGGAAGAGATTTGGTACACTAGAGTGGAAGTTAAAAAAATACTTTGTGAAGAAAGTTGAATGAATTAAGAAACATCAAACATTTAAATTTCTTTAGTTGCTTTCACTATAAATTTATGAATTCACTTCAATTTAATGCAAAACTTGAATATAGCAAGTAACATTCCTTGCTAATTCTAATATTATCTGAACCCCTACCTTTAAGAAATATTCTCCTGAGCCAGAACAGATTTTCTTCAACATGAATAAATGTCAACTGGCATACAACAAACCTATCACTAAGATCTTAACTTCCAATAAAGATTTTGCAATGTAGCTCACTTTCTTAGTGTTGCAATAATAAATTCCTGCCTATTTTAAATTATTTTTGGGCCTCCCCGGTGGGCTGGGCACAGTGCTGTGAAGCTGTCCACAGCCTCTGCAGCGCGGGTTTGATTTCCGGCCAGCCAGGGAGATTCCCACGTGGCATGGCAGACCTCTCCTGCTGTGCCCGCGCTCCCCTCAGCAGTGCTTTCGGTCTGTCTGCCTGTTCTGTTCCCCACTCTGTCTCCGGTGAATCCTCTCACCCTCCCGCGCCTCTGGCCTATACCCCAGCTCTTGTATAAATTAAGGAAAAATAAATATTTTTTTCACTCCCAGGGAGTAGCCTATTCTATATCAGTTCTTAGTTTTTGTGATTGGAAAAAAAAAAAAAGTTAAAATAACAATGTCAACTTCTGTCAGATATCTAGCCTTCAATTGTTAAAAATGCAATTACTTGGATATGGAAAAACCTGAATACACTTATTATTTCTTCAACTTTGAGCTACAAAGCCCTTTATTTAAATCCAACTAACTCATTACACCAAAATAAAAATAATTTAAAATAATAACCTTTGGAAAAAAGAAACAAAGCAAATTTGGGAAGAAGGCCATTCATTGATAAAAGGGGAGGGTTGGAGGAGAAGATTATGAAAGGATCTCAAAAATAAATACATACAAATACATACAAAAATCTTCAGAAATTCTAGTAAAATAAACTCTTCTAGTTCAAAAACCAAAGGACATAGACCCGTTTCTATTTCTACGTATGTAGGAAACCAAAGCATTAATATCTGTTAAGTTGTTCCTCATGTGAAATATGACTAGTAAAAATGAATTTTTATATGTACATTTACCTTCCAATTAAAGGTCTGCTAAAAGGTTTAAATGTTAGAATTTACTTTTCAAATAAAACATCTAGCAATATAAACAAGTGTCACTAAATGTCTAAGAAATATATTTTTAACAAAGACAGTATTGCTTTTTACGAACCAATAAATAGCTATTTTACACCTGAGCAAAACACATAAAACAAGCACAATTTATTAAAATAATGCCAGTTCATATTGCATGAGTCAAAATTAAGAAATATAAATAACTGACAAAGACTTCTTATGTGGCAAAGAGATAAACTTATGACTTCTACAGATTCAATTTCTAATTCTCAATCAGACCCCCTGACTCCACTCCATCTCACTCCCACACCCAAGGCGATTCTTAATGCTGAGTCCCGCTGTGGGTGTATACTGAGAGCACAAGAAATAAAGGCTTCAACACTGCTGGAGAGAAAGTTTAATGACCAAGAATGAGACATTGCCACAGCTACTTTACTTTTCTGTATATTTTGTACCAAAAGTGGCACATCTCTTTCCCCTACTTTAACCTGTTACTCCTTTTGTCCTTATGCCAACTACGAGTTTGGCACTTTAGTACTATTCCCACTTCAAAGACTACAAACCTGAGATAAAGCTTCTTGCTCTGATCCAGTTGGTCAATGAAGAGACCAGAGTTTCTTCCCTACATCATCTCTACTTTCCACTTTCTCTCAACCAAGTATGTTTTCATGATTTCAAATTTTCACCTAATTAATCTAGGCAAATTAACAATATTCCTTCCATATCATCTTGTAAAAAAAGATCACTGCTTCTATCAATTTCTAAGTAACATTAGGGAAATGCCAGGGAAATGTCTAAGATGAGAGCAACTTAAATCAACCCTCCAAATTTTGAGATGCCTTAGCATTATTTCAGCTGTAATTTCCAACTTTATCCCTATCATGACACAAACAAAAAATGATAAAATGTGTACAGCCCTCTGCACAAGGCCAGAACTGGCCAGACAGGAGGTTCCAGCACCTCCAAACCCTGCCCAAACACTCTGGGGAAAGAAGGGCATGAGGAACACAGCACTCGTCACCAGTGTGCTGCAAACCAAACGGGAAGCTCTCAAAGTTCTCAGACCCCACCATATATTCCCAGTGGGTCAGATAAAAAGACACAGAAATCAAAGAAGTGATAAAAGAGAAATGACAGTGAAAACTTCAAGGTTTCATTCTTACAGACAATGGAGAGTTCTCTTTTCCTGACCTCACTTTGCATGTCTGACCAGTTCCCTAGAGAGGGACAAGTATACACCAATATATAGTTGTAATAAACAAATTATACCCCACTGCTACAAAGTATAATGGTAGGGGCTACCCAAAGAACAGAGTTAACCAAAGAATTGGTTTAATACTTTAAATCTATCACCCCTATTAGAAAAACTCTCAAAAAAAAAAAAATCTATAAAAGCTCTTGCCATACATTAAAGATTACAACTTGCTTTAACAGTCAAGTCTTAAGATATGACACTTTTTCTAGGTATTACTACTTTTAAAAAGGAAACAGAAAATATACCTCTAAAATTATAAAACTGTCTTTGGACCAACACAGTACTTAATATCATACATATTCCAGTCCTAACAGCGTTTTTTTGTTTTAATTTTTTTCCTGTCATTTCTTCTCTCCTTTTTTTTCTTCCCAGCTCTACTATATTACTAAAGTATTTTTATATGTTAAATATTCTTGATTTGGGGGGCTAGTGCTTTATTTGGAACAAAAAGCACAGAGTTAATAGTCCATTAAAATGCACAAGACTAAATGTGAATGTTATCTGTTTATTTAGAACTTTTGGTGCTTAAAATTTCAAATAAAAATCATCTGTCCAACTGCTGTAGTTTTTAAAAGTTAAGTCATTTTTCCATTCTCTTCTAGGAAATACTACAGCACAAATTAACACAGTAGCTAGTAGTAAAAACAGAATTACACATAAAACATAATTTAGAAAATATATATACCTTTTTAGGTCAATAAGTAAAACATAATTGTTGGTAACAAAAGCCAACAAGAATGAAATACAGACATTTATATCTTATTATGTTTGCATGCACCATAAAGACAACAAAAAACAGTTAAGTTTTAAAATTTTACTAAACATGAATATAAACATATAAATAGGAAAAGCTCTCCCTGTGTTTTTATTCCCAAATTTTCTTCTATTCTAGGCAATAAAAATATTTTTACTTTTCAAAAGTATATGACAACTATCAGTACAAATGTCTTATTTCTTTAACATGTAGTTTCATTCTATCATATACAGTTTAGGTATTAAGGAGCATTTTAAAAATGGAACTATTTAAGGTCAAAACCTGAGTTGCTTCAGTGTAACCAGAAAGCACTTAAGCTAGCACTGTATCATATCAAATTGCAGCATACATACTGTATTGCCCCGTGCTAGTCTGATATATGCTAGTTGGTACTGCCATGGTAGCGATGTTAGGTGGCGTTCCTTCTTCCTCTGATTTTTCTTCTTCAATCTTGGGAACACCAGGCACATCAGAGGAAAGTTCATTCAGTATTTTTCTAAAATATAATTTAACACAAATAATAAGATAAAGCAAAAGCTATACAGAAAGAATTGGTTTGCCTTTTTGGAAAAAACATTACAGTACGAAACCTAATTAACTTACCTATAAGAAGGTCTTCGTGAAAGGATTTCTCTACGTTTATGAGAATCAATTACACCTTCTGATTCTGCAGACTCATCTGTCTCTGCAATTGTTGCTACCTGTAACACAAGAGTTTCTGAAATGCATCATAAAATATATAATCTCCTTTACTCAGAGAACAGTGATTAAGGATCTCTGTGTGCAGGACTAAGCTGGTAGTTGGGGGGAGTATACAATAGAAAACACTACACTTACGCTGATGGAGCTTACAAAACCTGGCTAAGGAAAAAAAGTATGGACACAAATAGTAATGTTGTAGAACAAGTATGTGTAGAAGGAATGGTACTGACAAAATAAATACTAAAAAAATGCAAATGAAAGTGTGTCTGGAAGATCAAGTAAGGCTTCATAGGACCACTTAAGACCTAAGAGCCCAACTCTGAAAGTACTTTCACAAATCCAGCAGGGAGTGAGTAACAGCGGCAGACAAGGTATCTTGATTTCACTGCATTCTTCACAATATCACAACTGACTTGAGTTAGGTCCAAAGATATTTGGGCCTAGATATTTGATATTAGATACTTGATAGGTCCAAAGAAAAAGAAATATTTTAGCAAGTAAATAAGTCTAGTTAAAGTAAGGATTTATATTACAAAAGTTTGGGGTTTGATGTTGATAAAGTCTTGAAAGTTAGAATAAGCAATTTCTCCTTTTAAAAAATCAGTGTTGGGCCTCCCTGGTAGCTTAGCGGGTTGCGTGCAGTGCTGTGAAGCTGTCTGCAGCCTCTGCAGCACAGGTTTGATTCCCACATGGCGTGGCGGACCTATCCTGTTGTACCCGTTGCTCCCCTCAGCAGTGTATTTCGGTTGTCTGCCTGTTCTGCTCCTAGCTCTGTCTCTGGTGAATCCTCTCACCCTCCCCAGCTCTTGTATTAAAAAAATAAATAAATCTTTAAAAAAAAAGATCAGTTTTAAGCATGATTTAATTTGTTCAAGTATAATACAATTAACATGATTATGAAGGAAAGTCAGAAAACTAAAATAATGAATTCTGTACAACATGACTGCTTTCAATCTGTTCAGTCATTTATGATTCAGGGTCTAGGGTAGTTCTGAATTTACAAAATTCACTTTACTCTCTATTCAAATTACATGGGAATTTGATCTGGGCAAAATTAAAAGAGCTTATTAAAATATCAACAATATTAAGCAGGAATATATAATTCTTACAGCACACAGATGTGTATATATCGTCACCCAAACAGATAACCATGCATCTTTAGTCAAGGATACCCCATATATAAGCACACTCTCCAATAAACAGAACTTATTAGGAAAAATTTATTATGTTCACACAATCATGTATCACCACCCTTTACACTGATCCACTTTGCACTGGGTTTTCAACCATCTCTTACATAATCATAATACCATCTCCCCTTATATCAAGCAAGCTATTTATTTCACCCATTTTAGAAAAATAAAAGCTGAAATTCATAGATAGAGTTTAGGTGACTTGCATATTGTTTAACAGGTAGAAATTCTAAGACAAAATCCACTGGCATCTCTCTCTCTATAAAAATAATTAAATCATTCATTTAACAAAATTTTGCCTACTGGAATGTAAGACATTACTTCCTTCCAACATCAATCAAGTTAAAATTAAGTAGAAATAACTATACCCCAATAAAAGGTGTAATACAAAAAGTAAAGTAGGCTTTTTGTTTTATAATTAGGGTCAAAAACAGAAACTCTTGGAACAAAGGGTTATCACAGAAAAAAAGAAAACAAAGGACAATGCAGAGGATTATTTACGCTTCTGAGAGACACAGGAAAAGATATTTGTGCTGTAAAGATAATCAAGCTTTTGATGCATATGGATTTATAACTCCAAATATATGTTGCAACCATATTCTTATTCTGCAATAAACTGTACTCAAATAAGAATAAATATGTGCATCTACGTTTTCCTCAGATATTTTTTCAATTAGGGTCAAGTAATTTCAATGAAGATAATAAAATGACTTTAAAAAGGAACAGAAATTAACTTAGTAAACAGAAAAGCATGTTTTAAAAATACATATTTTTTACTTCTATTAACACAAAAAAATGTTCATAAGGATTTATGATCAATCTTGATAATAATACAACAATAAATTTCTTCTCGCAATCACAATCACAATAATAGGTTTACAAAAACTAAGGTTTAATCTTAGAGGGGTACTTGATGTATAAACAACACCAAGGTGACCATAATGGTCTATTATTTTCTATGAATTACACATATTGAATTAAACTTAAATTTTCACCTTCTTATTAATGTGAGTATTCATAAAAATAGCATCAGGACTACCACCTTAATATCATTGTATTTATCAGGTATCTCCAAAAAATATAACTTTGCTAAATAAATCTGAATTTCAGCAAAGAGCGACAACCCAAGGATAGATTATGCATCTGACAATTATTTATTCATCAAATTAACAGCTAACAACAAAACTGCAACTCTCAAGTTAAATATATGTATCTAATAGGGCACAATACACTTCCATACATAAAAAGGAAATTCCTCCAAATGTCTAATAAAAATATTTGATCATAAAAGTTATCAAAGATAAAAAGTTATCAAAGATGATAAATAAATTAAGTTAAAAAAAAAAAAGCTCAAGAAAATTAAGACACATCATCCAGGAAGAAAGCTGCTAACCTGCACAGTTTGTATTTGTGGTGACTGAATAACTGATGGCTGTGGTGTTTGAATTACTCCCTGGACATGGACAGTTTGGCCCGAAGGTAGCTGTACTAGGGTTACAGCTGGGGAGCCTCTTCCGGTGCCTGATCCACCTACAGAAACCTGCAAAAATGATCATCATTGAGAATTAAGGCTAGGCTTTTTTTTTTTTTTTAAAGAAATACGATTCACTGTTGTAACTGGACTATTTTTCCTTTCTGGTTCCCGTTTCTAAGATATAACAAGCAGACTGGGATACTTACCATTAGGAGGTAGCTACTGTCCTGGAATAGTCATTCTCTGATGTGATAGATATTAAAGAACCCATGCTCCTCACTTTCAGTTCCCATGCTTCGGTGATTAAGAATGTTCCCAGCACAAAGTTCTAAAGCAGTTAAACGACCTCACTGCGACCTCATGACTACTAACAGTGAACCTTTTTTAGGCCAGAGTACATACTACCGTTTCCAATTTCTTAAATTGAAGAAAGGATTAAAATATGGTGAATAATTTTTAGTAAGTTCAGTATATGAAATTCGAATATCACAAAGATACAAGCTAATGCCTTGCCTCTATGATGATGAAAATCACAGTTTATACCCTCACAATCACAAAAAAGGCACAAGCCAAAGAAATTCCAGGACCCCTCATGCCTCTAGCGTCTCTGACTCAGAGAAAGCTCAGAGCTGGCATGGTCCCCTCACAATTCTCTCCCATCGCTTGAGCGTCCACAGAGTCAGAGGCACCACTTAGCTTGCAGAGCAGAAAAAACACAGCCAGCTCTCAGGTACTTTTATTTCGACAGAGAACCCTATTAGCAAAACATAATACCACTGCTGTTTTGGACTCAAAAGTTGACAGTTTTCTAATTAGTAAAGAACTCACTCCCATAGATGAGTGTAGTAATCCTAGAAACTTTGCCTCATTTTACTTAAGTTTCACTACTCAAAACAGTCTAAGACTTTGAAAAGGAAATAAGCCACCAGTTTCAATCAGTAAGTGGTAGTAGAGCCACAGGTTCTAAAACAAGCCTCTGCATGGGACCTAATTTTAAGGAACACCAACCATTTCCAAACTACATATATTAATACTTTAATTATTAAAAATTGGGTTTATAGCAAATATTTATAAGATATAATTAAACATCACTCCCTTGGAAGGGATACTTCTTTAGCAATGTAAAAATAAAAAGTCTTTTATCTATGGAAAAGAGCTTACTTGCTGAGCATTGTATTAGGTATACTAGGGGAGAAAGAATTAATCAAGCACCTAAGAAACAATAATGTAATAAACAGTACAGAATTAACTGCTGCATTGTATGGACCATGAAAGTCATAAAGAGTTACAGGATAAAAATATCAGTATGGTTCCTGAATAGTAAATGGAGACTATATTTGAAGCCACAGCTTGAGTTGGGCCTTGACATGAGACTCGATAATAGCTGGACAGAAAAGTGAGAAACTAGGGCAGAGACACACAATATACAGTCTACAAGGTAAATTCAAACTATCTACTCCTAGAGTATTATTGTCTACCTTAGATTTTAGGGCTGGAAAAAAAAAAAGGTTATCCCATAATGAAACCAGTAGATTTAATGACTAGCAGCTAAACAAAAAAAAACCTGGGGGTTTATTTATGTTTAATTAAAGTTTCTCATATGAAAGACAATTCTTAAGTTATAAAAATACATCCATTCTGTATAGACAAATCACCAAAAAGTATTCCTTTCATAACAACTCTCAAGCTTTTTAGTTTCAGGAAGCTTTTACACTCTTAAAACTTAATGATGACCTCAAGGAATTGTTGTTGAGGTGATATATTTCCAGTAGGGTGCTATAAATAATGAACAATTAGCTTTTGGGAAGGGATGACATTGATTTATAACTTTTGCTGTCTTCCGCAATGTAAATACTTGCACACTGGAAGATTACAAACTACCAATGGATAACACTGAACATAAAGTTCAGATGCAACAATGGGGATCTTACAAGCCAGTTTTTCTAGCACATCAATATACATATTGATATTTACCATATCTGAGAAATTTTAAGTTATAGGAGCTAAAATTATTTTATTTAAAAATAACAATACCATTATACACTAATATCAATATACATTTTATGAAAAATAACTATATTTTCCCAAACAAAAGGGTAAATGTTTTACATTTTTTACTGAAAACAGTTGGATTCTCATACCTATTTCAGCACTGAATCTGTTGCAATGTTATTTTAGCTGTATGTGAAGAGAATCTGGACCTCACAGAGATGCATGATTGGAAAAAGAAATTTTTAACAGTTTTTTAAGAAAAATGTGGATATTCTTTGATGCCACACCAGAATTCAACTTGCTTCTTAAAGGTTAGTTTGTAATACAGAATCTGAAACCATATCAGTTATAGTAAAATCTACTGATCTTATGCTTTGGATAGATCTTAACCCAGATATGATTTTGTAACATCATGATGTAGTTATTTGGAAAATACTGCCCTACTAAGTAGATCCCCCAAATGCTGACACATTTCACAATGCCATACTCACTTAAATCAGCATCAATCCTATCAGAACTCTATAAATACTAAGAAATTATCAAGCTCAAAAAGGTAGATATAGGTTTTCCAAAATTCACAATTTCTCCTTAAAAGCTCGAATTTCATAATTAGCAACAAACACTGTTAAACTGCTTTCCTATAAGTGGCAAGCTCATTTCATTTGGTTTTGAAAAAATGTTTTCCAAATACTTTTTTGACTATTATTTGATTTTTAATCATTCTATTGAGAAAAATGGTGTCCAGTGAAAGAAAATCCAGCTAGTTCATCCTACCATTCAACCACTCAAGTGCTTTTCTTAAGTCTTTGGTATGGAGCAGAAATGTTTTCAGGGAACATCCCAATATCATAACCTAGAATATTAAAACAACATATACTCAAGGATGAAGGTTTAATACAACTGGCAATATTGATTTAATCTTAAGGTGAAACTGACCATTTTTTTTTAACTGCAAGTGAATGGCAGTGAAGAATCTAACAGATACCAGTGCAGTTTGGTTCCACTGTCTTGACTGATGTTAAGATACCAAGTTTTAGCCTTCAGTGTTTTGGCACCATTAGTTTTAAATCCCAATGGAAAGGAAGAAGGAAAAGACATTTTAGCATTACTCTGAAAGTAGTCTTGCCCTTCCAAACCTCCCCAGAAGGTCTCCAGGATATTCCACAGCATACTCTGAAAACTGCTGCTGTACACTAATGTAGCTGTAAGGCCCTGGCTCACAGTTTAAAGAGCAGATTGTTGAGGCAAGACGTGATTTCAGCTTCATAATCGTAACACAGTCAAAACTGTGACCAATAAACCGAGTAGAGTTCATATGTCAGAAATTAAGCAAATATAAAATATACCCAAGAGAACTACAAGTATTCTTACAGACTAGACCTGCAGATTGAGATGGTAGTTAGTACCCATATTCACTTCTGTGGGTGAAATATTCCAGTTTCAATGAAATCAGATATTTTAAAGAACCACTGAACAGCACAAGAAAGACTGGGGTTTTGATAAGTATAAATCATGCTTTAAGATACTTATATTATCTTTCATATAATTTTCAGGATTTTAAATTATCAAACAATGGCTCTATCAATATGGAATAGTGTCAAGTATACCTGCCACAGAAAAGGAACGGTACCCACTAATACAAACTATACCTCTTGTATTCTCAAGAGGAATTTTATATATATATGTAAAAGCTCATGAGACAACTTTTTCATTAAAATGCTGAAATAAAAGACTGAGAACTAGTATAAATGACACTCCCTAGTGCTAGAAGTGATGTACTAGTTGGGAGAAGAGAAAACAAAAACAACCTCTTAGATGTAGAGATCTGCCAGACAATCTATATTCTCACTGGTTTTGCCAAAACTGGTGGTTAGCATTTAGTCTGTAACTGTATTGATGAGTTATGTGTCTCTACTTACAGCATCTTAGCATTATTACTAATTTAGCATATTAACCACGTGAGCTGCAACTGAATACACAGTACCCTTAAGGTAAGGTAAAGTGTACAGTTGGGCTAGAAGGAAAAAAGGCAGTGATTCAAGAACAAGCATGATAGTCCCAAAGCCAAAAAAATGTATAAAGAAGCACCATATATATATATATATATATATACACATACACACACACACACACACATACAAGGTGGTAGATTATTTTAGGCCAGTTAGGTTGAAAGTGATGTGGGACAACAGTAGAATAACTCAGTGCAAATGTTTAAAAGGCAAAATTAGGGACTGTTTCTTGGGTTAGAGCTCAGACAGAAAATAAAGATATGAAGAGTCATTTATAAAGAATATTATATTAGTTTATTTATAATGTACAAATAGAATTCTAAAGAAATTCTGAAGACAGGAATTCTTTCCTAAAGGAAATTATTGTTACAGACACAAAATTTAGTCCACTTGAACTAAAATATGCATAAGCATGGGTAGAAATAGAGAAAGCTTTCTTATAAACATCAAATATTCATCCCACGACTTTTTAATAAGCAAAAATCACACAGAAATAATTCATACTATTCATATGATTTATAAATTCATAAGTTCATATGATTTAACTCATTATTTTATTCATCACCAAATATTTATTGGGAGCTTGCCCTGTGAACCAGTTTAGAGTAGGGATGTAGCAGTGAACAAGAAAAGTCTCTACTAGATCACAAAAAGACTGGAAACAGATGAAGAAACAAAAGCATGCTTACGGTGGTGATAAAATTATTAAGATAATAAAGTAGGGTAAGGGGTGAGAGAATGAGAAAGTGGGATGAGGAAGAATGTGGAAGGAGGCTATTTAAGATACAGGAGCTGAAGACAAAACCAAATCAAAACAAACCCTAGAAATCTAAATATAGAATTGAGGCTACCAAAAGGAGAGGGAAATATGGGAGGGGTGGGGAGCAAAGTATGGAGAAGATCCAAAGGATTATGGTAGAAGACTGTGGGTGACTTGCTGGTGTGTGTAGTGTGGTAACATACATCTGAAGAGTTGTGACCCTCTGCCTCTGAATCATAGTGTTGTATACCAACATTACCTCAATAAAAAAAATATTTAAAAAAAGATATTTGCTGAGGAAAGTTTCTCAGAGGAACATTTGCACAATATGCCCAAATAAAGAAAGGGAAAAAGCCATAGGAAGATGTACACTCATGACATTCCTACATTCAAGTAGGCAAATGTTAAAAAAAAAAAAAATTAAAAACAAAAATGACTTATTGTATAGTCCATGATTTTTATACTTCTATTTATTAGGCCCTAAAAGTGTGTGGAATTAACTCAATGTACATATAATTTACCTTTTTTTCCAGATCTCCTGAAGAATAATCCTCTTCTATAGGATGCCTGAAACATAGATTATGCTGATGCCACCACATCCACTGAAAACCCCACTATAGACAGTAGTTAATCAGAAGAAATAAGTTAAGATGATGCAATTGACAGCCTTACTTGGCTTTGCAATTAAAAAAAATCCTAGTAATGACACTTATAAGTGGGAAAACCTCACAATGTTGTAACACGGCATTTGATTAGCACCTAGTAAACTAGCTCCAATCTGTAGCTAGGTGCCCTCATGATGGGGTCTATGATGTCACAGTAGAGCTGCAGATGTCACAGAGCTACCGGGCCTGTATACAAGAGAGTTAATAAAGGGTGAAAAACATATGAATTCACAATACAGCAGATTGTGCTTCAACTCTGCTGCCTGAGGAATCAAAAATCTATATTTCTACCTTAATTTCAAGAATTACAATGAAAACCCACTAACAATCTAAGCAAAGTTGTAAAATTGTCTTGATTTCTGCATATTAAGCTAGGACTCTAAAGAGTCAGTTTCTTTTAAGGAGGGAAAAAATAGTACTTAAAGTATGTTTCAGATACTTTAAACTTGAAAACAGAAAAATAATATCATAAATATAAATACTTGAATAAACACATAAAATATTTCACTTAATTTTTTAAGCTTATATTTAATTGTGCTAAGTTAATACAACACAAAATGTAGAGCTAATCTCATTTAGGTATCTTTAGTGTCTTACACTGAGTTCTTTTTTCAAACAGTAAGGCTAATGGCAGAATTAATGAAGTTAAATTTTACTTGACATCATCTTGATAATATTAGTTGAAAATATTTATTAATAAGAGTTACCCATGTAAGAGTAATAATTTTATATTTACTATACTATAATTCTAAAGAGAGCCACATGGGGATATGTTTGCTTCAAACAAATATTATCTGAAATCTATAAATAAAAAGAGTAAAGGAGATCACTGATTTTGATATTGTAAATATAAATGGTCTATTATGGCTCCTCAATAAATTCACTTTTTGAAAGCAAAGCAAGTATCAGAATTGAATCATCCTTAAATTATATAGTCAGTTTTGATAATACTTCTAATAAGCAATGATGACCATTTAGGGCAAATTAAAATTTAACACTAATCTTTTATTCTATTAAAAACAATGCTCTAGCTATTCTTATCTCTTAATCTAGTTAGTCCTTATAGTATCTTGAATTTTCTATTAATAGTAGAACATCATTTTATATTCTAACCAATATGAGATGTTTCATTTATGATATTTTAAAACACTATGAAAACAAACGTGATCTTTATAGAAGTCAAAATTCTCTAGCTACAGAGCTTTTAAAAAGTCAATTTTATATTTGGTTTCATTAAGACTGACACTAAAATTGATCCTAATTTACAAGCCAAATGTATTTCAAAATAATAAATGCACATACTGAAGTAATTTTCAGTGAGATCCGAAGAAAAAAATTATTTACCCAGTAGATATTTTAATTTTTTTTAAAAAAGATTTATTTATCTATGCATACAAGAATGGGGGTACAAGCCAGAGATGCGGGGCATGAGAGGATTCACCAGAGACTGAGTGGGGAACAGAACAGGCAGACTGACAGAAATACACTGCTGAGGGGAGCAGCGGGCAAGACAGAAGAGGTCTGCTGCACCCTGTGGGTTGCTCCCTGGATGGGGATCGAACTCATGCTGCAGTGGCTGCGGTTAGCTTCATAGGTTGTGTCTTAACCCCTTAACCCTTTGTGCCACCAGGGAGGCCCTACCCAGTAGATACTTTAAAAGGGCAAACAGTGGGTAATTAAAACTGTTCTGAAAAATAAGAGACATCACTTCTAATACTGATATTGTCAAAAGACAGAAGCCACAGAACGAATGCCTAAGACCACTTATCTAAAAATCTCATGTTAATTTTTATTTCTGACTGAAATTAACTCTTTATAGGAGCATATATGAAGCAAACCGCAGGTCTCTTAAATTACTCCATACTATTATCTTCTACCAATCACTTGGAATATGTCCTAAAGAGCAATGACTTGGCAAAAATAACCTTAAGAAATAGTAATAATAACCAAAATGTGATATACTATCTACAAAGGAATATTATTCAGCCTTTAAAGGGTAGGAAATTCTAGCACATGCAACAACATGGACGAATCTTGAGGACACAATGCTAAGTGAAATCAACCAGTCACACACCAAAAAAAAATCAACAACAAATATTGATGATTTGATCTATATGAAATATTTAAAAGTAGTGAAATTCATAAAAATAGAAGGTAGAATGGTGGGTGGTTTATCAGGAAATGAGGAGGGAGGGTGAGGAAAGGTTACTGTTGCTTAACTGGTATAGATGTTTAGATTTGCAAGACAAAAAATCCAGGAGATTTATTTTACAAAGTGAATATAAACTTAGTACTACTGAACTTTACACCTAAAAATTAAGATGGCAAAGTTAAGCATTTTACTATAATAAAAAAAAAAAACAGTAATAACTATGGCCCCCAATTTGTTATATAAAATAAAATAACCAACAGACTTCTTGCCAGGAAAGTACTAAATAGATTAATTTTACCAAAAGCAATGATGCTGGTCTCTTCATTATCTTATCAGAATTAATTCTGAAGTCCTAGATGTTCTTGTACGCTTAGCCTCAGAATTACAGCTCTACACACAAAATGGCTATTGATGCTAGAAATTATTATTTTTTTAAGATTTATTTATTTATGCATACAGGAGCTGGGGTACAGGCCAAAGATGCAGGCGGGTGAGAGGATTCACCAGAGACAGATTAGGGAACAGAACAGGCAGATGGACCAAAATACACTGCTGAGGGGAGCAGCAGGCGTGGCAGAAGAGGTCTGCGCCATGTGAGTAGCTCCCTGGCCGGCCGGGAATGGAACCCAGGAAACAAACCTGCGCTGCAGAGGCTGCGGACAGCTTCACAGAGCTGCTCTCAACCAGCTGCACCACCAGGGAGGCCCTAAATTTGCATTTTCTTCACACACTCAAGGTCAGAAGCTGAACTGGGATCTAAATATGAAATGATCTGATCTGCCATTGAACAATGAAAGAGTACCAGTATATACAATTACTACATAGTATCACATATATATATATATATATGTCCATATATGTAGTTTTATACAGTAAATTTAGGCAGCATATATTTATTACTATTTTACAACTATGGCTTTTCTACCAATTTCACTCTCTGAAATTGTCTGGTTCCACACTGGATACCTATGTACTACAGGTAGTAAAGGGTTGGGTGCTTAATGAAATATAAAACCAGACTGCCTAGATTCTAACCTTTACTGTGTGACCTAGAACAAGTGATTCTGCCTCTCTTTGACTTATTTTCTTCAATTACTAATGAGAATGAAAACTGTACCTTTCTAAAGAGTTGTGAGGACTAAGCCAATGTGCATGATGTACTTACGAACAATTCTTGATATAGACTGAGTTAAGTAGTCAATAAATGCTTTCTTTTGTTATATTCTGTTCAAGAATGTAGAGCTTTAATAATTTATATCTACTGGGAAGATCAAAATATTTTTTTAAATATCACAGTTGAGGTGGGTAAAGAAGAAAGAACAAGGATTTACATATAAGTAGAAGTCAAAATCTGAATTAGTGATAAACAAGGCCTAATCAAATTGAATGCTTAAGTTTTTTTTTAGTTTCAGCCCAAAGGTCAGAGTTCATTCATAAATAGGAAAATCTACAAATTTTGTTCCAGAAAAAAACATTACAATGAAATTTGGCCTTACCATACATTAAAAGCAAAGTAATAAGTTATATTTTAGATTTTCAGAACCAAATGATATGAAGAAATTTTTCAAGTTTTAAAAGAAATCCAAAGTACCAAAAATTTAGGAACATAAAGCATACCATTTTATTTATTTATTTTTAAGATTTATTTATTTATACAAGAACTGGGGTACAGTCAAGAAGCATGGGAGAGGGCCTCCCCGGTGGCGCAGCGGTAGAGCGCTGGGTTGCGAAGCTGCCCGCGGCCTCTGCGACACCGGTTCGATCCCCGGCTGCTCCCCGGCCACCAGAGGAGGGTCCCACATGGCGTGCAGACCTCTCCTGCCGCCCGCTGCTCCCCTCAGCAGTGTCTTTGGTCTGTCTACCTGCTCTGCTCCCTGCTCTGGCTCTGGTGAATTCTCTCACCCTCCCGTGCTCTGACTGTACCCAGTGCATGTATAAACAAAAACAAACAAATAAATAAAAACATGCCTCTGAAAAAAAAAAAGTTTAAAAAAAAAAAAAGAAGCATGGGAGAGTGAGAGAATTCACCAGAGACAGAGCGGGGAGCAAAACAGGCAGACGGACCAAAGACACTGCTGAGAGGAGCAGTGGGCGAGACAGGAGAGGTCTGCTGCACCATGTGGGTTTCTCCCTGGCGGGCCAGGAATCGAACCCGCGCTGCAGGGCCTGCGGGCAGCTTCACAGGGCAGCGCTCAACCCACTGCACCACCGGGGAGGCCCAAGCATACCATTTTTAATAAGTTCACAGCATTGTATCAGAACTTTGCTTTTAAAGCAACTATAAATTATACCAGGAATAAGAAAATTTGTTACTTTAGTATGGACTCCTAATGTATTGATAACACATTTTTAAACCAACATAAATCACTTCATCTTCAAGCCTAATTGCTACCATTTTAACCATTTAAAACAGAATACTATAATGATAAAAACAAATTTATTACAAATTAACTATGTGTTAAGCACTGTGCTTGACACAAAAGCCATCTCATTTAACTTACAAAATTAATATTTTCATTCTTTCAATAAAGAAATAAAGATCATCTCAATACTTTAGACTGTATAAAATTTAAGAAAATAATTTTGTCTTCAAAGTTAAAGAATATGTCATACCACTAATTTTTAGTAAACAAACTAAATTTAATCCACACTGGGCATATCTGAATAATTGTGGGTGCTTTTTCCTAATACCAAGGATATAAGCCTTGAGTAGGTAAAAGTTCTTAAGACTCTGGGAGAGCTGCTTACACTAACAATACCTATCATGGTATATTAATATGTCTGATATAAAATATATACCCATAATTTTTAAAGGTATTTATTATCTTTCAGAATAGAGTTCTATATAGTACAGAGCACACTTGTTTAAAGGCAAATGCTTTTCCTGAACTATTTCAGTTTGTATTACCTTCATTTGATATTGTCTCTACTCAATACATTCAATACCACAATCAGGCTTTTCTCTCCAAATCTTTTTGGAGAACCACTAGAATTTTATCTCTGACAGGGCTCAGAAAATTCACATTTTTGGAGAGCATATTAAGATGCTGTCATTACCATTATTCATTGAAGTGAAAACTTCCCAAAGTGTCTGTGTTTTCCAAATGTAATTCCTTTAATAGTTTGGGATTTACAAAGGTTGTAGTAACAAAAATTAAAATGAGACAAAATACATATATGACAAACCTACAGCTAACATCATTCTCAGTAAATGAAACCACTGAACAAAATAAGGGTGCCCTCTCTTTCACTATCATTTAATACAGTATTGGAAAGGATTAGGCAAGGGGAAAAAAAGGTATCCACATTGAAAAGGAAAATGTAAAACTTGTCACAATAGGTAGATTACATGACATTATAATATATATATATATATATATATATATATATATATATAAGACCCTACAAATGCCACCAAAAAACTGCTGAAATAATAAACACAGTAAAGTTCCAATTTACACAATCAAAATT